TGAGTTGTTCGGGCGCCTCGTCCTGCTGTGAGTCGTTCGGGCCCCTCCTCCTGGTGTGCGTCGTTCGGGCTCTTCGTGGTGTGAGTCGTTCGGGCCCCTCGTCCTGGTGTGAGTCGTTGGGGCTCCTCGTGGGGCCTCTTGGGGGCCTCTTGGCGCCTCTTGGGGCCTCTTGGGGGCCTCTTGGGGGCCTCTTGGGGACCTCTTGGGGCCTCTTGGGGCCTCTTGGGGGCCTCTTGGGGGCCTCTTGGAGCCTCGTGGGGCCTCTTGGGGGCCTCTTGGGGGCCTCTTGGGGGCCTCTTGGGGGCCTCTTGGGGGCCTCTTGGGGGCCTCTTGGGGGCCTCTTGGGGGCCTCTTGGGGGCCTCTTGGGGCCGCTTGGGGGCCTCTGGGGGGCCTCTTGGAGGCCTCTTGGGAGCCTCCTGGGGGCCTCTTGGGGCCATCTTGGGGCCTCTTGCGACCTCCTCAGAAGCGCAAAGGAGAGCTGCCCCCTTGAGAAGGACAACATAAGCCCAAAACCTTCGTAAAATCAATGATTTTGCTATGAAGGACGAGGAGCGCGACCCCCTGAGAAGGCCAAAATGGGGCCAAAACCATAGTCAAATCAATGTTTTTGGCGTCGACGAAGAGGGGGGTACTACAAGAGCGTCCCCCCGTCGGGAGCAGAATCCTCGTGAGGGTCGTCGTTTTTTAGCCCTCCCAGGAGTCGAAAAAGACTCCCCTGACCACCCGCGGGACTCCCTCTCCAGGCCCAGGGGGAGGGGGTAGGGGGAGGGGTAAACCCCTCCCCGAAGGGGAAGAAGGGGGGTTGAGGACAGAGGGGGCTCGCTAAACCACTCACGCCCTAAAGGGCTGGTGGGACTTGGCCCTTCCTCGTCGTCGTCGTCGTCGTCGTCGTCGTCCTCATCCCCCTCCTCCTCCTGCTCCTCCTCTTGGGCAGGCCGCGGGAACGAGCGCTCTGGGCGTTAGTAAGCGGGCTACGCAATAATGAGGCGGCAGCCCGCGATGACAGGCCGAGACCTCCTGCTCCTCCGTAGGACGACGACGACGGCGGCGGCGACGACGATTGGTCGCTTCCTGAATGCCTGGAGGGGTCCTGGACGCTTGTGGGGCTTCTGATGTCCTTTCGAACCACCGTCCTGCGAACTACGGCCTCGTGGAGTGTAAGAGAACTGCTGGAAACTATATTGGAACAGTGTGGGCTCGCGTTTGAGCTCCTGGTGACTCTCCGGACCAGTGGACTCCTTTTGCGGCTGTTTCGGGCCGTCTTGGAGCCCTCTTTGGGCCGCCCCGGAACCCTCTTTTGGCCGTTTTGGGAGGCCGGGCCGGCCAGGGGCTTTTCGGGGGCACTCTTGGGACACTCTTGGGGGCCTCCTGTGACTCTCTTGGGGCTCTTTTGGGAGTTCTCGGGGCCCTCTGGGGCCCCTCTTTGGCCGCCTTGGGCTCCCTTCTATCCGTCTTGGAGCTCCTTTGGGCCGTCTTGGGCCGCTCATAGAGGCCTCGGAGGCCGTCCCGGGGCGATCTTGAGAGTCTCTGGGGATGCCGTGGACGCTGTGAAAGTGGAAAAAGCTAATATCTTCAAAAGCGTACGTTTCCTCCGGCAACGGGACGGTTTTTGGCTCTGGGGGGTCGTTTTGGGGTCTCTTGGACCGTCTTGGGGGCCTCGTGGGCCGTCTTGAAACCATAGTGGGTCGGTCCTCTTTGAGCGCTGATGGGCCGTCTTGGGGCCCGTTTTGGGCCCGTGGGCTCCGATCGGCAGGGGCGTCCAACTGCCCGGAAGGCCGCCGGGACTCCGAAAGGGCGTCCAGGACGTTCGTTGGGTGGAGGGCAGGGGCGTCTGGGGTGTCCTGGCAGGTCCGGTTTAGGGGGTGGGGTGGGGTGGGGGGTCCGGGTAGTAAGAATATAAGAATCGGAATAAATGTCACCATGCACCAAATAACTTACACCATAACTATCTCACACCACAACTAAAGTATCACATAACTTGCATCACAAAGCTTTCACCACATAGCTTTCACCAGGTAGCTCGTGCCGCATAGCTTGCACCACATTGGTGGCACCACATAGCTTGGACCACATACCTTGAGCCTGCAGTTCACATAATGCACCAAGCGCAGAGTGCAGTGCTCATGCATTGTGCATCGAGAATGCAAGCGCCTATTGTTTGGGGTCCGCCCTGACTGACACACAGACATGCTGCTATTGGCCTGCGGCAAGTCCTGCCACCGTGCCATCCCCTCATTCTACGTTGGCGACTGTTCGAGGGGTCACGTGAGGCTGTCACGTGTGACACCTCGTGTCTGCAGTGCAGGCTCCGGAGAGCGTTGATGGGGATGATGATGACTATGATGATGATGATGGGGATGATGCTGCTGATGATGATGATAATGCTGATGATCGGGGATGCTGCTGCTGATGATCATCCTGATGACGATGTCGATCGGTACTGTTGCTTATGACAATGATGATGACGACGACAATGACGATGCGGCGATGACGACGATGATGACGACGATTCTGACGATGATGATGCTGCTGATGATGATGGTGATGGCAATGACGATGACGATGACGATGACGATGATGTTGATGATGCTGACGCTGATGCTGATGATGATGCTGATTGTGATGATGATGCTGCTGCTGCTGATAATGATGATGTGGCTTGGGCTTTTGATGATGGTGATGATAATGTTGATGGTGTGCATGATGATGATGCTGACGCTGCTGATGATGATGAACATGATGATGTCACTGACGCTGTTGATGATGATGATGCTGATTATGCTGACGGGGATGATGACGATGAGGGTGATGATGCTGATACTGCTGATGATGAGGGTAATGATGATTATGGTGATGACGATGATGCTGCTGCTGATGATGATGATGATGTTGATGCTGACGCTGATGCTGATGCTGCTTCTGATGGTGATGATGGTGATGATGATAATGATGCTGACGATGACGATGATGGGTGGTGATGACTATGATGATTGTGTCGGTGAACGTGACTCTGATGCTGCTGCTGATGATGATGGCGGTGATGCAAACGGTCTTTGTGAGTGTGTTGTTGTTGATGATGATGATGATGATAACGATGCTTAGGATGATGATGCTGACGCTGGTGATGGTGATGCTGATGCTGCTGCTGATGAGGTTACTGATGCTGCTGTTGCTGATGATGATGCTGATGATGATCATGCTGCTGATGATACTGCTGAGGATGACGAGGCTGATGATGATGATGATGATAACGATGATGACGATGATGATCATGATGATGGTGATGCTGATGCTCATGATGATGCTGCAGATGATGATGATGGTGATGATGATGATGATGATGATGATGATGATGATGACGTTGCTGATGCTGCTGCTGATGACGATGATAATGATGATGAAGATGATGCTGCTGCTGATGATGGTGATGATGCTGCTGATGATGCTGATGATGATGTATTGGCGGAGGAGGAGGAGGAGGAGCAGGCGGAGGAGGAGGGTGAAGAGGATAGTGAGGATGATGCTGCTGCTGCTGATGATGAGGATGATGATGACGATGATGATGGTGCTGCTGCTGCTGATGCTGATGCTGATGCTGATGACGATGACGATGACGATGACGATGACGATGACGATGATGATGATGATGATGATGATGATGATGATGATGATGATGATGATGATGATGATGGTGATGATGCTGATGCTGATGCTGATGCTGATGATGATGATGATGATGATGATGATGATGATGATGATGATGATGATGATGATGATGATGGACCTCTGTCGGGCCGTCTTGGGGCCGTCTTGGCCTCTTGTAAGGCAGGTGTGGGGGTCCATTGGGTTTTTTTGTGCCATCTTTGGACCCTCTAATGCTGTCTTCGGGTTCTCCAGAGCCTTTTTGGGGCCCTCTTCGGCATACGGTGAGTGTCTGGGGGCCGTCGTGGGGCCGTCTTGGGCCGTCGAAGGGCCTTCGAGGCCGTCTTCGGTCCCACAGGAAGCCCCTTTGGGCCGTCTTGGGGCCGTCTTCGATGCCTCTTGGGCCATCGTGGAGTCCTCTTGGGCCGTTTTGAGCTGACGGCAGCCCGACAAGGCGAGAATGCGAGCTTCAAGGCATCTTCGGCCGTCTTGAAGCAATTGTCGGCCGCCTTGAGGCCACCTTGGGCCGTCTTCGAAGCATCTTGGGCTATCTTGGTGTCCTTGGTCGCCTGCACCGGCCGTCTTGGAAGCTCGTGACGCAGATGTATCGTTTTTAACACTGGATCGTGGCCTGGGAGGCCCAAGAGCGCCTGGGAGCAGCGCCAGAGGATGCGGGAAGGGCACAGCCCTCGAGCGGGTGCGCGTGGGATGATGGCTCTAGGAGGTACTAGCCATGCTGGAAGTGCGCAATCCTCAAGCAGGCACGCGTGGAAAGGGTGGGTCAGGCATTCGCTTCCATGCGAGAAGTGCACCATCCTCGATCGAGCACGCGTGGAAGGGGGGCTCGGGCATTGGTTGCCATGCGAGAAGTGCAACATCCTCAAGCGGGCACGCGTGGAGGGGGTGTTGAGGCACTGGCTGTCATGCCGGGCCATGCGCCGTCTCGAGCGGGCACTGGGGAAGTTGCCTCGGAGAGGAGGGGCGGTGCACGCAAGAGTCTGCTGGTAGGGGCGGGCCCTATTATAATTCAAGAAACCCTGCCAGGCAGACCTTGTCATTCTGCCACGCCTCAGCGTGCACAATTCACAGTGGCAAATCTCAGGCAATGGCGCAGCGTCCTAGCTCGGCCATGAGCCTACCAACTAATGTTCTCATAACCCTTTGTGGTCTGCGCGAAATGCTCTTTGAACATTTCTGGCTGAGTCGGTCTCGAGTTTAACACAACAGGGTCATGTTTGAAGAACATTGTTTTTGTGTTTCGAACATTTTGGGTTCTAGGAGCATGTCGTGGTAGGCCTATAGGAATGCCGGGACGGTCGGTCCCTGCTCATGAATTCATCAGCCGTGATTCTCCAAGGCTGCAGAACGCCATGTTGAGCCAGTGCGGCGACCAGCAGATCGACATCGACTGGCACGTGAACCCCGTGCAGAGGGGCATGGCCGTCGTGGAGGGCATGCAGAACTGGTACTGGCAGAAGCGAGGAGGCGAGGGGGTGCAGGGAACGAGAAGGCGGCAGCTCAGGCGGAGGAGGAGGAGGAGGCGGAGGAGGAGGGAAGGGAGGGGGATGATGATGATGATGATGATGATGATGATGATGATGATGATGATGATGATGATGATGATGATGATGATGATGATGATGATGATGATGGATGGAGGAGGAGGAGGAGGGAGGAGGAGGAGGAGGAGGGGGATGCGGAGGATGAGGGAAGGGAGGGGGAGGCGGAGGAGGATGAGGAGGAGGAAGAGGAGGAGGAGGAGGAGGAGGAGAGGAGGAGGAGGAGGAGGAGGAGGAGGAGGAGGAGGAGAGAGGGAGGAGGAGGTTGCCAGAGGCGGCCCTGGCCCGAGGTGGCGCGGGCTTTTCCTGGGGAGGCCCGGATGGCCTCCTGAGCAGCCCGCACGGGGCCCCATCGGCCCCCCCTCCATAGGGCAAGGGCTCCTAGATGGGGCCCGAGTAGATGGGGTCGGAGGATCGCGCCGCATCGCCGATGCATCGACGATGCGGCTCGATGCGGAGCCCGATTTTCCCCACGCCGACGTCGTTGATACATCACCGACGTCGACGCCTCATCGCCGGTGCATCGCCGATGCATCGCCGATGCATCGCCGATGTATCGCCGATGCATCGGCGATGCGGCTCGGTCCTCCGACCCCATCTACTCCGACCCCATCTAGGAGGCCTCCATAGGGCAAGGGCTCCTGTCGACTCCTCCGATTCGATGCGATCTCGGTGGCTGCCGATTCCGATTCGAGTCGGCTTCGGATCCCGAGTCGGATCCCGATGTCTCCAGGGCGGCCTCACCCGCCTCCCGAGCTCCGCCCATCCGGCTCCTCCCGGCTCGGCTGCCGATGTCTGCCGGTTCGATCCCACTCGCCGGTTCGACTCTGGGCTCTCCTGCTGGGGATCCTCCCCATTTGGGGCCGGCTTGGGGCCCTCTTGGGCTGTCTTGGGTGCTCTTAGGCCGTCTTGGGGCCCTCTGGGAGGCCTCTTGGCCCGTTTTGGGGTGGTCTTGGTGGCCTGAAGGGCCGTCTGTGGCCGTCTTGGAGCGTCGGAAAGCCGCAAAGGCGAGAACGCCCAGTTCCTGCAAAAAGTCTGGCGAAAGACTCAACCATCTGCAGATGTGAGGACCGCAGTTGTGAGAGGCGTTATCGGTGGGCCACAAAACGTGTGGGGTGTGTGCCGAATCGGTGGGGTGTGTGCCGAATCGGGTACGGGTACGCCATGCGGACTGTACCGCTGGGGCCTTCGGGGGAGCTCCCTATGGGCCACGAAGCGTGTGAGGGGTATGCCGAATCGGATGCGGGTGCGCCATGTGGACTGTTTCATTGGGGCCTTCGGTGACGCTCCCTATGGGGGTACGAAACGTGTGAGCGGTGTGCCAATTCGGATGCGGGTACGCCATTCGGACTGTGCCACGATGGCCTTCGGTGAAGCTCCCTCTGGGGCCACGAAGCGTGTGAGTCAGTCAGCGGGCCTTACATCCTGTGGACGCGTAGGCAAAATAACACTTTAAAAGTTCAGGTGGTGCGCCAAGTGCGTCCCTGATGCAGTCAATGTTACAACAACGTTGCAACATTGCGAATACTTCTTCTGCCCATTGTTGTCTTGGTTGGCTTCTGCGGCGGCGGCGAGCTCATTGTTTTGGCGAGCCGTCCACAGCACAAACTAATTATCGAGCTAAGTCATGGCCTGGCCGCGCTGCAACCTTCTCGTGCAAATTGGTTCGTTTATCGCACAGAATTCCAGATAAAGGTTTTGATTCTGCCCTCTCCAAGACAGTAGTGTTAGTTATGTAAGAGTAATCCATGAGGACAGCCCGTGATTTGTCGCAGCTATTTGCAATGGAAAGCGTCCAACTTAGTTCTGTCCGCCCTGAGCAACCGCAGACGAAAGTTTCGCCACCATACAACTTGTATATATGTGTGCAAGTTTCTGTGCTTCCCAATTGACGCATGAGACCATAGTTTTTGGAGATGTCTGAATATATGCGTGCTTTCGCTGATCAGCCGGACCTTTTTGATCGGTTCCCCATTTTGGTTGTTTAATTGTGTTTTGGTTCTAGATTTGGATCTGTACGGTCTTGTTCCAGTTCAATTCCAGTCCATACTGTTGCCCCTCCAACACTGTTGCGCCCAACATCTGTTGTACAATCCCAGGGTCACTGGATACGAAAAGCGTGTCGTCCGCGAAAACCATGTCCCGGGTAACGACATCGTCCAGTTTTGCTGCGAGTGCGCGATGCGCCAATGCATCGTGTACGGCTGTAAAGAGATATGGGGACAAAGCACACCCTTGAGCGATATCTGCTTGTCGAGTACGTTGTGTAGACCGCTCGCAATGATCAACGACGCTAAACAACGTTGTCAATCTATACCCTGGATCATGTCCAACACGGGGGCAGGGAGTCCAAAACGCGCTAGCGCTTTGCAGCGACAGTTTGGCTTGAGCTGGTCAAGAGCATCAGCAAAATTTGGCAATCAAACAAGCAATCCATTATCTTTCCCAACCCTCCCTTGGATGGTTCTCGTTTTGAATAGAGCACCGTGGTCTCCATCACTCCTCCCCCCTCCTTCCTCCATACTCCTCCTCCCCGTTTTCTTCCCCCTCCTCGCTGCCTTGTGACCTCGCCGCTCCCTGGGGGGCTGGCTGCGATCTGCGAAACTGTCGGCAGTTCCGTGGGCTCTTGGGAGGCCCAGCGGAGGTACGTCCTATGCGGACCACCACGAGACCTCATCGTCCCTTGGGGGGCTGCGATCTGCGAAACAGTCGCGAGTTTCGCGGGTTCCTTGGAGGCCCAGCGGAGGTACGTCTTACGCAGATCACCACAAGACCTCGCCGTCCCCTGCTTGGGGGTTACGATATGCAAAACCGTTTCCACTTTCGTGGGCTCCTGGGAGGCCCAGCAGAGCTACGTCTTACGCAGATCACCACGAGACCTCGCCGTCCCCTTGGGGGGCTGCGATCTGCGAACTTGTCGACACTTTCGTGGGCTTCTGGGAAGCCCTGCGGAAGTACGTCCTGCGCAGATCACCACGAGACCTCGCCGCCCCCCGGGGGGGCTGCGATCTGCGAGCCGGAGTCCAGTTTCGTTGGCTCCTGGGAGGCCCAGCGGAGGTACGTCTTACTCAGATCACCACAAGACCTCGCCGTCCCCTGGGAGGCTGCGATCTGCGAAACTGTCGCCATTTTCGTGGGCTCCTGGGGAGCCCAACGGAGGTACGTCTTACGCAGATCACCACGGGACCTTGCTGTCCCCTGGGGGGCTGCGGTCAGCGAAATTGTCGCCACTTTCGTGGGCTCCTGGGAAGCTCAGCGGAGGTGCGCCTTACGCAGGTCACCACAAGACTTCGCCGTCCCCTGGGGGGCTGCGGTCTGCGAAACTATCGCCGCTCTCGTGGGTTCTTGGGAGGCCCAGCGGAGGTACGTCTTTCTCAGGTCACCGCGAGACCTCGCCGTCCCCTTGGGGGGCTGCGATCTGCGAACTTGTCGACATTTGCGTGAGCTTCTGGGAAACCCTGCGGAAATACGTCCTACGCAGATCACCACGAGAGCGTGCCGTTTCCTGGAGGGCTGCGATCTGCGAAATTGTCGCCATTTTCGTGGGTTCTTGGGAGGCTCCCCAGCGGAGGTACGTCTTGCGCAGATCACCACGAGACCTCGCCGTCCCCTCGGGGGGCTGCGATCTGCGAAAATGTCGCCACTTTCGTGGCCTTCTAGGAGGTACGTCCTACGCGGATCACCACGAGACTTCGCCGTCCCCTGGGGGGCTCCGATCGGCGAATCTGTCGCCACGTTCGTTGGCTTCTGGGAGGCCCATCGGAGGCACGTTTTACGCGGACAACCACGGGACTTCGCCGTCCCCTGGGGGGCTGCGATCTGCGAAACAGTTGCCATTTCCGTGGGCTCCTGGGAGGCCCAGCGGAGGTACGTCCTCTGCGGACCTCCACGAGACCTCGCCGTCCTTTGGGGGGCTGCGATCTGCGAAGCTGTCGCCACTCTCGTGGGCTTCAGGAAGCCCCAGCGGAGGTACGTCCTACGCGGATCACCACGAGACCTCGTCGTCCCCTGGGGGGCTGCGGTGGGTTCCTGGGGGGGGCAGCAGGGTGACGCGGCGTGTGCGAGCGCCGCGCAGCGAACAGCGCATGGCGCTGTCCGTTGCCCATGCCGCATCCCTTCTTCAGCTGCCTGTTTCTTGTGATGCATGTGGACACATGTTGCGCTTAGCGCAAGGCGCTGTACTGTCATAGCGCGCAGGGCGCTGTCCTGCAATTCGAACACAGCGCAAGGCGCTGCTACTCTCACGAATTATGTCTCCAATCGTCCCTCCTCCACATGTTTGTACGCTCCCTCGTGGTCGCTTTGTTGCCAACGACCTGGCTCTTACGAGTGACGCCGCATACGTGAAACATCTGACGCTGGCGCGACCTTTTTTGGCGAAGCGTTCAAGAGCATTGCTGACCATTCAATGCTTGTTTTGTATTGTCCGATCTGGTGTATACTCGCCACATGCTTAAAAAGGGTTGGGCACGTCCCTGTATTGTTGTTCTGAGGAGCTGCATCCGCCATTTATCTGACTATCATAGGTTCGTTTACCATCCCTTGCCTGGGCCGGAAATCGACGGTGCATCATACATGCGAGTGTTTTGCATCCCGTCGCAAGCAGGGATCTAGGGCGGTAATTGCTCGGGAGGGTGGTGTCGCTCTTCTTGAACAGTAGGGTCACGCTTCCTGCTTCCATGCTTGATGCCCGTTTTGTTCCCAACCCGTTTTCGTTTTGAATATAGCACCGTGGTCTCCATCACTCACTCACTCCTCCCCCTCCTCCTTCCTCCATCCTTTCTCCTCCTCCTCGTTTTCTTCCTCCTCCCTGCCTCGTGGATTATTACTGACCCTCGCCGTCCCTGGGGGGCTGCGATTTGCGAAACTGTCGCCACGTTCGTGGGCTCCTGGGTGGTCCAGCTAGAGGGGTGTCCCA